GGGCATGGGCGTCCCATGGGACTGATGAAAGACCGACGCAAAGTACCCATTTAATAGGTTGGCTTTTTCCTGGGCATCAGTTGTCAGTTGCCCCATCTGGTTTAGCAGGGGTCCAATGTTGCCCTTGCTTTTCCTCCGGCTCCCCACATATCTGAAAAAGGGCTTTTTATTGTCCTTGATGCTCGAAGCTAGTTGGAGTTCAGTTGCAGCCTTGGCTTTCCTGGTTTGCTCCCTGCAAGACTGGACCAGTGCAGAACAATCCTCCTTGGAGGTGAATCCCATCCTCCATCCTTTGTAGGCCTTTCTTTTTAGCCTCAGGAGGTCTGCTAGGTCCCTGGAGAGCCAGGGGGGCTGCTCTGCTCTCTTGCTGCCTTTCCTCCGAGATGGAATAAATAGACTTAGCTTGTGAATTGAGGATCGCTCCCTTAAGGAGCAACCACTCTTCTTGAACTCCCCTCTCCCTGGGGTCATGATCCCTTAGGGCCTGACTGACAAGCCTCCTGAGCTTGTCAAAGTTGGCTTTCCTGAAGTCAAGGACTTCCGTGTTGCTGACTTGCCTGAATCTGAACATGTGACTATGACCCATGTGTAATAATATATCCTCTTATGTTTACATGCAGCTTTCATCCTTCCCAACTCATCTTCTCCTTCCATTTGGTTCTGAGATAGTTAATTCTTCTGTTAGACTCTTACTGCCCACCCATCTGCACAGCAAAGCACTGGCAAGTTACAAACACCTTGTAGTGACTTTGATCCAAAACCAAGTAGAAGGGGAACAGACACAAAAAGCTTTTATTTCATTCCAACACAAATATTGGCAAAGAGGCTGCAGGTTAACTGGGACAATATATTTTTTTAATGTGCCTGCCCAAATCAAAGCACTGAGCTGTTAATCTGGAAACCTGGCTTCATATTCCTTGCTCCACCACTGATTCTTTCTTTGATCTGGGGCACATTACTTCATTTTTCTGTGCCCCAGCTTCCCATCTATCAAGTGTATTGTGAAGCTTTATGATCTTAGATACCGACAACGGTACAGAATAAAAGGTCTCCTTTCTGAAGGCTGTTTTACTCGGCTGAAGCCTGCATGGGAGGTGGTGGATGTGTTGAGTCTTTGCATGACTCGTGTCATAAGTAAGACCTTCCACCAACACAGAGGCTCAGAAATGCTGATGTGACAGTCCTCCACTTCAAACATGCAGTGGACAGTTCATACATGGCAAGAAATGCTTTTCCTCCCACAAAATCCTTGGGTGTGGCATTCTCCTGACACTTCCCGGCCTTCCTCTGCTCATGAAAACACATTGGGCCTGTCACACTTTTGCTGAGTGTTTCATGCTGCAGAGAAGAATCAGTGCCTTCATGCTCCTACTCAGGGCAGCAGCACAGCAATGCTTTTATTGCATTTGTTGTCAGAGAGACAAAATATTATTTTGTCTTTCTGGGGAAGCCCATAAGCCCATAGGCAGAAGCAAAGCACAAACAGTAGAGGCACTGTGGATCACAACAGAGACCTTGTAGAGGGGAGCTGCCAACGACAGTCTTAGAGGACAAATGGAAAGCACATTTTTGAAGTTCAGAGTAGTAGCTGGGTGATGTCTTTTACAATCTTTCATGCTGAAGTCCATAGCAACCCTAGACGAAGCATGTTTTATAGCCCAGTCTGAGGATGTCTCATTTACTTCAAAGAGCCATTCATTATTCTTCTCTCTGATCCACTGGGATCTGGAAAGTGAAATGGCAGCTTTCTGCCAGACTAAGACAATACAGTACATTAAAGGCTACACATTCATATATGGATTCAGATCCATACTTCCTAAGAGTTCAAAGGTACCCAAGCCCACCTACAAAGCCCTCTTAAAATAAGGAATGAAGCAAAGAGGTCCTGCCACACACGCTCTCACTTGCCCTCGGTTATTTTACCAAACCAAAAGGGCCCTTGACGTGAAAAGGCAACAGAGTTACAATCGAATCAAAGGGAAATGTTGTGCACATAAGGCAATCTAGGGGCTGTGAAACAAGCATGACTTGTTTAGTCTACCAATAGGAAGGCTGAGAGGGGGAATCTATTTTCTGTCTATAAATAGGCTGCAAGAAAGCTGCTCAGACCATCAGAGCAACATGGGTTTAGGGTCAACATAGGGATATTTTAACCCTCTTTCAAAGCATCTATTATTGATTATTATTTAGGAATGGACCCTGACTGGGATGGATTACTACCCAGTTTCAATTTAGCTAGATGGGCCATCGAAATTAGGTAGGTCATTTCTGCCTTCCAGCTTGTTAAAGGCTGAAATACTTTGCACTACTTTATTTGCACAGCAGCATTGCTCTATCCACGTCTGTTGAAGCCATTTCCATGTAACGAATGTAAAGACCTTGAGCATTGGTGTGCACTGGACTGCAATGAGGAGCTAAGGGGCCAAAAGTAATTTAATGGCATGCAGTGTCCTCCCTCTCTCCAGCTCCAAGTGGACAGGCATCCATTTAAAGGAAGGCTCATCATGATCATTGTCATCTTACAACAGTTTTGGTAAGCAGGCCAAGAACTGAATATACATGGAAAATAAATTGCCTGTAATCCCCCCAATTTGCCACCCCAGGTCACAGTAGAAATTGTGTGGTGGTATAATGGGAGCAGACTAAAAGAGGAACAGGAGAATTTGCACTGCTCTTGTTCATAATACATGCATCTTTTGAAACAAAAAGAATCTCAGCCCCTGATGTGGGTTTTTTCCAAATCACTAAATCTATTTAAAAGCATCTGAGTATGCAAACAGAAGAGAGGGATCAGGACCTCTGACTTCCCAGAAATACTGCCTCATACATCAACATGAGGGAGAGAAACTGCCCTGATGATAAGGGACTGTTCCGCTTTGCCAGACTTTTTCACTTAAAATACCAGCCGTGTACTAGACTGATAAAAAGCACGAGCTCTGGAGCCTTGCCATCGATTCTGAAGACTTACAGCAAGACACATTCCTTCCCAAAGGCTGTCAGCAAGCTGTCTGCCATCATATTAGCATAGTAGTATGGCCCACACAGAAGAACTTAGCAGTTTCTTCCTGGAAAAGGCAGCTTCCATGCTAACATTTCAAGTGGGAAGAAACAGCCACGCTACCACACAATCCAGGGGCTGGGCTGTGCATCTGTTCTGACAGCTATCAACATACAGGATCAATCTAATTCAATGCATCCTTGATTGGTATTGTAAAACCAGAAATTATGGGGCAGACTTCATCAGACTGTATTTCAGAGTAAGGAAGGTAGGCAGTATTTTGACTAAGCTCCTGATGTTGTTTTTTCACCAGTGTCGAGCAGAAGTACTTCTACTGAAGTACTGGTGGTGATATCAAACCAGAAACAGGTCGTGTATACACAAGCAGCGAGGTTGCTCTGACAGGCTGTAATTATGGAGCATCAGAGCAGACTTGATTGATCGAGTCTATTGGAGCATGGTAGTCACTGCGCTCCAGCAGACTCCAGCAGCTTGTGTATCAGTGTCCCTGCACTTAAAAGCCCAATGAGCTTTAGTTAAAGTGCTCCTACCACCATTTTTAAGCATGGGGATGCTGATACACAAGACACTCCAGGCGCTTTAATTAGAGCAACTCTCCAAGCCCCTTGAATTTAAATGCACCTCCCCTCCCCCTCCACTCCCAGAGCATGGGTATGTGCCCAAGTCTAAATCAGATTCTGAAGATTGGTCTGAGCCCCAGCTTTGGTTTTCGACACTAATTTTGTATTTCTGAAAGCAGGAGGCTGATCAGATGCAAAAGTGTGTTTTTGCAAAGAATAAGACCAAATCTGGAGTCAGAGTCAAATTCTTTTATCTTCTACCCAGCTAGATCTAGCCATTGAGGGATGTCCAGGTGAGCCTTATACAAGCAACCATTCATTTCTGGGGCTAGTTCTGCTACAGCAAGTTTAGAAGATAAAGAAACATGTAGGAAGCCTGCAGTATTCATTCCTACATGACTCAGGTCTTACCCAGGCTACTGCAATTAAACAGGGTCTGTTGAGTGAAGGACTGAGTCATCAGTGTCTGTCTGTGTCTGTCATGGGCAGAAAGCTGCCAAACAAAGAGCTTGTGTAAAAGGAAATATCATTCCTTCTGCATATTAAAAGGTTTCTCTATGCCGCTTTGCCAGCCAATTTGGACAGCAGTAGTTTTCCATTGTTTGGACATTTATCTAAACACAATAAAAGCCCTAAGGATTGGCAATGGGCCATTTGCGGTGCATCAAGACTAGGCTGGGAGAGCCCCATGCCACTGAGAAGAAATGTGCTTCCCGGACTTGGTAGGCAGCTTATGTTCAAACTTGCGTCTCTCTCAAATGGAAAGATTGACTGCCACATGAAGAAGTGGGAAAGAAAGGACACTGTGAAAGAGAGGAGATAGGACCCCTGACCCTTATGCTACATTGTGTTCAGCCACGATAGAAGCAACTCACAGAGGCTTTACTTCCAGTCCTAGATGGGGCTAAAGACATCCTAGACATCATGCCCTCACTTCCAGGAGCAGGTTTCCCATGACCCTTTGTCTGCGTGCTTAAGCCTAAAGTTCAATTGAGCAGTGTCAGTCTCCATTTTCAAAAACAGATGCTAGATCCTCATTTCCAGCTAGGAACATAAAGGGCAGGAAGATGCTGCGCACATCACTGAAGGTCTCAGATAGGTGACTTACAGAAAAGTATCGGCACTCAGGACTTCAGGAAACTGTAAAGCTCTACCAGTTACCTGCATTCAGTAGCTGATTCAAAGAGAGAGGTGATCATCAAAGTAAAGTGTTGCTGGTAGAGATGGTTGGAAAAATGCAGAAAAACAGTTCATAGCCAATTTTTAAATGTTTCTTTCAAAATTTCAAATTTCCACTTCAGAATTATAGTCACTGTTATTATTACTGGTGATGAGAATGTAGTTAAATAGATAAGCTGGTAGATTGATTAATTGGTATTTAAAATACATATTAGGATACAGGGAAACAAATATATATTATAGGCATCAGTTAACAGACACACTGTAGATATTTCCTAGCAGTTCTGAACTGAATAGTGTTTTGATGCCATTTGAAGTTCAGTGAAAATACATAAATTACTAGCTTTATGAATCTGTTGCTTGACACTGAGTCCAATTTCATGATCCAGACATTAGTATTCTAGCTGGCACAAGCTGGCAACAGGTTTGAGGTCTCGTGGTAGAGAAGACAAGATTTTAATTTTAGTTCTTCCATTGAGGCTCAGCTTGGTCTTCACATAGACATGGGCTTCGTCCTGGAAGCGTGACACACAGCCACCCTGGTATGGATGCAGGGAGTCCCAGATCTGTAGATTAACGCCACAGACACTGTAGCAGCACTGAAGCATGTCAGGAGGCATTAAAGGAGTGCTGGATCCTTAGGATCTTCCACTTGGAGGGTGGTATATCACTGAAACAACAGGGGCTGGCATGGTTTTGAAGTGTCAGGGTGTAATTAGGGAGTCTTTAATCCACAGATTATCAGCTCCTCACTCTAAAGCCCCCATCTGTTGTGCACATTGAAAGCATTTTATCTCTGGGCCTGCTCATGCTCAGGCTCACAGGATTTCAGCCTCTCATAAGGCTTTAATTGTTCATGCAAAGTGGCCTGTATGTATCTGCCAGTTGGTGGCCAGGCATTGGAGCAGATTTGGGCTATCATTTTCACACATGGGTGCTTAATGTTAGGCACTTAGAGTTGTACTTAGGCATATAATTAGTTAGTCTGAATTGCAGAACCTCCCATGGAAGCTATAAAACATTTGCACTCAAGATAATCCAGATAGTTATAATCCACAGGTACTTCTTATCCATGAATCCCTGTTTCTGAATTATACTCATTTCACCTCTGCTGACTGGTGTTACTGTGCATGTGATTACATGCGCAGGTGCTCACACATACATATGTAGACTGCATCAGTTCTAATCAACAGGGATTTATTTCTTCCTGGGGAAACAAAAAAGACAGGCAGCGTTTCGTTACCGTGTAGCTATCCTCAGAGATTCTGCCCAGAGAGGCAAGTAAGATTGCATTTAAGGGCTTTACCAGAATCCCACAAAGTTTTTCCCAAGGACCCTGCAGATCAGCAATTCCCCAGCACCTTCAAGACATGCTCCATGACTTACTGTGTGAGCTGTGAGCTAGACCAGTGGTTCTCAACTTTTTTTGTACCAGGACCCATTTGGCCAAGATCAATGTTTTGTCTTGATCCATACCCCATGGGCTATGCTGGGGCCCCTCACTCCCAACCTACAGTCCCCTGCCCCCCAGCTCCAGCCCTGCCGGAGGGGGCCCCCAGCTGCCCCCATCCCACTTGGGACAGAGCACAAGCACCAAGTGCTGCCCCCATCCCACCCCTGAGCAGCAAGTGCAGGCCTCTGCATGTATGGGCACTAGCCCTGTGCCACCAGCCCAGGCATGCAGGTCCCCTCTGCAAAGGACTATCCCCCGCCCGCCCCCCCCACACACACACACACACCAGCCCTCTGGACAGTCCTCTGGACCTCCAACCCCCCGTTCCCCATGCACTTACCTGCGTCCAGCAGCTGGGGCCACTGCCATACGTGCAGACGCCTGCAGCCTCCAATCGTCCCAGGCAGCCTCTTGCAGGCTGGACAGCCTGCAAGGGGAAGCCCGCGCTCTCACGCATTTTTCTGGGACTTGCTTGCGACCCTTTCAAATATTCTTGCAACCCACTTTTGGGTCTCGACACACCAACTGAGAAACACTGAGCCAGACCACTCCTGCAGGGGAAGTTGAAAGTGCTTTTCCATCCCCTTTGACTCTTTCAACAAAGCTCAGCGCACTGGATTCTGCCTTAATAAAATGATGTAATCAGGGCTTATATCCAGCCATATGGCTATAGTTACATTTCCAATTCAACCAGTTAACCAGGAAAAGAGGTAAGTCAAGTTCTAAATGAATAATCAGAGACATTTCCTTCATGAAACCTTAAATACTCAGAGAAATTTCCCTTTTAAATTTACAAGTACCCAAAAGACTCTAGAGACATCTATTTTTTTTCCTCTGACCAACACCTATTTTTTTACCTCTGATCAACAGTTCAAGCCTTACACCTTTTTCAGGAGTAATATAATGTTGTTATCACTTGGTCCATGCTCACTAAGGGGAGAAAAATAATTTACAAATAATAGTTTGGTTGACACATTTTATTACTGTCACAGTTAATAAGCTTTCCAAACACAGATGTCGTCATTATTCAAAATTACCATGACTTTCTCCAGCAAATATCTCTTGGTTGGAAGATCATTCATCAACCGTTCATTATAAATATTTGAATACCACAATTTGTGTGACATGTAGGTTACCTACATACGTTTCATGGATTTATTTCCGTTTTATGACTGAAAATATATCAATGAACCAACAACAGCACAAAGTTCACAGCATGTATCAGAGGGTTGCATTAAACAATGTGCAGCTACAAATTCACACCAATATCAGCTCTAAAATACGGTATTTTTTTTGTCTTTGAGCAGATGGGTTTATAATTCACTGAATATCTATACTGGTAAAGTTTGTTCTCCTGAATATTTAGGGAAACACAAAATAAGCAGGAATAGAATCCAAACAAATGTCTTAAACGTAGGAATAAATATTTATAATAAAAAAATGAGCAGCATTTAGCAAGCTGTATTGAATATTAGGTGGGTTTGGTAGATTCTGGCCACTGCCCAATGGACTAGCATCAATTTAAGAAGTAATCATCAATTTTTGCAACTGACAGCCAGGGACTGAATGAATAATGCACATCTCCCTGGCCTATAGGCACCCTTGACATGTTAAGAGTAAAGTACATTGCTGGGGTAGCGTGCAGAGGAAGCTTACTCTACAAGTGCCTATGCCTATGCTGTATTCATTCTGGGGACTGGAACCTACCCAGAGCTCTTACACCCAGCATGAACATTAAATCCACAAGCACATACATGCATTTGCCAGTGTTTGACACTCAAAGTACTCTAAGAGCTCTGTACAATAAAACAAGGTGACTTGCAGAAGAAATCTATGTGGCTGCAAAAATGATTGCCTGCTTCATCCGGTTTCCTTTGGACCCACAAAGCAGAGTTGCTGAGTTATTGCATTCTTTTTTGATGTCTTACACAAAATCACATTATTAAGTCCAGAGACACAGCTGACTGTTCTCCGCTCCCGGGTTTGCATTTCACGGTCACCACAGCAACTGCCACAAACAGTCTTGTTAACCTCTGAGAGCAGCCTGTTCATAATCTTAATAATCCACCCTCTCCAGATGGAAGAGTTTTCTTTCACAAAACAAATAGCTTCTTCCATGAGATATGGAGGAGACCATTCAAATCATCCTTGTGCACTGATTTTTCAGGTGCCATGAAGCTGAAGGAAGGAAGAAACTTAAACAGTGAAATAAGGTATTGTCTACACGGTCTACACTGCAGTTTAGTCTAAGAATTTAAACCAGTTTAATTATACCAGTATAACCCCTCATGTGAACACACTCACAAATGAGTACATGTACTTCTATAACTATATTGGCATAAGTGGCTAAAATTCCTGTGTACACAAGACTTAGTTTGTACAATGTCTAATGTCATCTGTATCACAAAGCTACATAATTTTTGCTGATGGTGTATTCAGTGGGTTTACAAAACAAATAATATTGATGTTCAACCAGATTCTGAACCCTCTAGACTAGCTGCAACAGTATTTAAACAAAGGGATTTACCCTTCCTGGCGTCCGCTGGAGTAACTGAATAAGAATCTAATCCTAAACATGAAAGAAGCCAGGACAAGGTGGCACCTTAGAGACTAATGGGTTCAGAGAAGCATAAGCTTTTGTAGGCAGCAGTGTTAAACCAATGGTGCAGCAGACATACACTGCATGCCAGTTAAATTATATCTTGCCCACAGTAAAAGGCCTGAACCAGATACTTGGATTACAACACCAAAGTTCTTCTCTGGGTTTTGGAGAGTTTTTTGCTGGTTTATTTTTTTTGGATGGGGTGAGGGAATGGAGATGTAATATATCTAGGTTTTCTTCTGTTTGGAGACATTAAAACCACCAGTTTAACTTTGTTTCAGTGATTATTTTGTGGTTTTCTGCTTTATTTTAAGCCTTTACAACACACTCTGAACTATCCTTTACCCATCCAAAAGTGATCTTCTAGGAATCCTGTAACTGTGCCTGAATTTTAAGGTCTCCCCTCTACCGGATATACAATACAGCACTAAAGGGGGCACCAATATGAGCCCCATAGTCTGCCAACCCTGCCCCAGAAACTGGTATGAGAAGCAAGGTATGAGAAACTGGTACAAGAAGAAAGTTCCCACTTTCATATAGAAAATCATAGGGGTTGGGGGTCACAAGCCAAAAGGAGGGAACAGGTAAAAAGGTAAGGAAACATCAACACTGTGGTAA